CAGCAACAAAAATAAATAAGTGGGATCTAATCAAATTAAAAAGCTTCTGCACTGCTAAGGAAACTATCATTAGAGTGAATAGACAGCCTATAGTTTTCCAAGAGTTTTTATATATCAAGTATAGGTAAAGCAAGGTAATTTTATAATACTTTAAGAAAACATAATTTGGAGATTAAATAGACATGCCATATACTATTAATATGAGGTAAAACAACATAAAAATTATTTTATAATTACCTTCAGTTTTCCAAATATATCTATACAGCTGCTCACCAATACAAACTAGAATAATCTAAAGTTGGCCATAGTATCTTTTCTTTTAGTTTATTTAAACATAGTTTTCATAGAAACTATTTTATGAAAAATCAAATTTAAATTTATGAAAATATGAACTCTAAATCACACGAAATCTGAATTTGGAGGGTAAATCTGAGACTGCTATTGGCAGGTGATTACATTAAACTAGTGTGATTGTGCATATATTTGAGAATAGCGAATATGAGGAAGAAAAGCAGGGAAGTGATGATGATGATGATGATGATGATAACGGCAGTAAATATTACTGACTGCTTATCATGTGTCACACATTGGTCAAAATCAACCAGGGTTTTTCAGCCTTGGCAACACTGACATTGTGGGCCAGATAATTCCGTTGTGGGGGGCTGTCCTGTGCATTTTAACATGTTGTTAAACATCCCTGGCCTCTGCCCATTAGATGCCAGTAGCATCCCCCCAGGTATGACAAGCAATGTCTCCAGACAAAACTAAATGTACCTCTAAAACAAATAAACAAACAAACAAAAAAACCCTAAATGTCCCCAGAGGAAGAAGGAGGGTGCAAAATCACCCCTGGCTGAAAACCACTAAACTAAATATTTTATATGCATTATCTCATTAAATCCTCACACTTATCTTGGGAATCAGACACTATTATTTTTTCTCCACTTTTCAGATATTGAAGTATAGAGAGGATTACTGAATTGCTGAAGGTCACATGGCTGGTTAAGTGCTGTTTGACTATACAAATTCCAGTATATCTGGCTCCAGAGTCTGCATTTAATCATCATAATATATTGGAATATGAGTAGAAATACATATGTTAGAGAGTGGAGAGAATTTCCTGTTTCTCCAAATTATTTAAAAGATGGGAAACTAGGTGAAAATCTTTGCAATCTATGAAGTACCATGCAAGTGTAAAGGACTATTATTTATATTTAATAATATTTAATATCAGTAGAACCAATAACAAACAGTATTTTACTTAGTAGTGTTTCTAATTCACAGAAGAAACTTTTTTTGCCTCCATGGGTAACTTACGGTCCACTGGAAGTTGTTTGTGTCTCTGGCTATCTCGCACAATACTGCCACCACTGTCACTGGAGCTGCTGTTCTGACGGATTACATTTGCCGGGACCTTTGACACAGGAACAGGTGCTGGAGCAGAAGGTGGAAGGGGGACAGGAACAGGAGCTGGTGTTGGAGGAGGTGATGGAGCCGAGGGCGTATCGGCTGCTCTTGGACCATACTCCATCCTTTGTTTCTATGAAAAGACAAATAATTAACTTGAAAATTTTAAAAATATAAATCTAGGCTAGGAAAACAAATTATACTTTGATAGGATATTGTTGGCTATTTATTTGTAAACCAATAACAAATTCATCTCTAATCCTGTGTTATTAGATATAGGTATAATGATCATTAAAAATTATCTTTTAAACATTTTACATATTTGTTCAAAGTCAAAATGTAAGTTAAAAAGTCACAAGGATAAGCCAATAGCAAACAGTAGTACTATAGTAATAAATGTCAAGAAAACTGAATTTGGACTTGGAATCACACAAGACCAGGGTAGATTAAAAGATTTCTGATTATTTTATAATTTGTACTAATAATAATTTCTAATTTCACTGGAAATCTATAAATGTCAATAGCATAGGCATCACTTACTCCTTATTTTCTGTAAGTATACTATATATTCAAAGATTTTTAATTCTGTTCTTTCCAGCAAATAATTTTAAAATGTTGATATTAATTTTTTCAAGGCATAATCCTTTCTGCCATCATCTTCATGTAAATTTATTAAAATTAGAAATTTTGCCTGTTAAAATGGGAATGTTGTGGGATAGATGGTTGTGAGGGTAGTGGTATGGTCTTTAATTGGCAGCAACTCACAAGCATATACTAGAAAAAAGGTATGTGGAAATCTGTATTGAAAAAGGTACATGTAATAAAATGCTTTTCAATATTTTTTAAATCATGATGGTTATGCCATTATAAAACAGCATTTGTATATATTTCATATTTAAATACACATAATAGTTAAGACTTATAAATCTAAACAAGATAATTTTAATAGATAAACTGCATTGTAAGAGGCTCCAAATTCTCAAAAGGCATATTTTCTTTGTAGAATTGAAGATGCACAGCCATGACTTGTAATTGAGGTAAAGTTTAGATAATGCACTAACACAATTTTAATTATTCTAAAATTTAGGATTAGTACGTAAAATGCAAAAAACCTTTTGGTAATCTGGTCCTTTGATTAGAATAGTATTTACTTTTAGGTTCTAAATTGGCCCAAATATAAGGTGGCATTGATTTTAAGAGTCCTCCCCAATTTCCACAGAGATCTAAAACAAAAATGCACACCACACACACACATCATTTTTAATTAAATCATTACTCAAAAAACAACATATCAATCTTCACCACAGTCGCCTTCATGGCAAATAATTAACATCTGTGGAAACCTGAGTGGGAAGGAGTCCTCATTCTTTTCTGCTGCCTCTTTAAAAGCTGCCACTCACCAACCGGTGTGGTGGAGAAAGTGGGAAGGGTATTATGCAAGGACGGAGTTAGAACTGAAAGAGGTGTTTATAATGCTGGTAGATATTTGGTGGAGAAAGAGGGCAAGAAGGAGAGAGGCAGGGAAGGAGGAAGGGAAGGAATAGAGGCATAAGATTCTCCGAGCAAGCCATGGAGTTAGATGGAATAGAAAGAGATTGCTAATCCCCACATTCAAGGTCTAGAAACTGAATACTAATGTATTCAGTCATATATTAGAGTGTATCATTATTATAATTATACTCCACAAAATAATCTTCCTATATTTGGGCCAATAAAATATTTAAAGCAATCAAAATACAGCAAACATCACCAAAGTGTAATACTCAGCACACACCAAAGTCATTTGATTAATGTACAATGTTCCGTCGACAAGACTGTCCTTTGCATGTAATTTCATGAGGAGCTATGAATTCTCACATTAGTATTTCAAAAGTGTCAGAGTTTAAATCATTGCTTTTAACACTTAAACAAAAAAATGCCATGAGCTCTGCATTTCATGATATGATTCATATTTTCTGCTTTCATAAAAACAAGAGCAAGTGTTTTGCTATCCATCAAATAATACTGCGAAAAACTGAATACACTGTGTGTTATTGTCACAATCAAGCCTGAAGACAAGCTCACCAAATGTTCTGTGCCTCATTTCATTCATCTGTCATTACTACATAATGCAACTTTATCAGTATGACCTAACATAATAGGCTTAAAAATATGTATATTTGATTAAAGTCAAGAAAACCCATATGAAGATTTTTTATGATTTATGCCACAAATTATATTTACTTGCACATTTTCCTCTTTTCTTAGTCCTCTCCTCCTGCTTCATGTTTCCAACCTCTGATGTGAAAAAGAGGAAAAAAGACTTTCCTTGAATCATTACAACCTGTTCTGAATGGCAACCAAGACAGCTTTTCCATGGAAACTGGTTTGTAATTCTTGGTGTGAAAGAAACAGAATCAGCATTGACTCCTGAAGTCGCTTTTCTGTGTCCCTCCCTAGCCGCTCCACTCCTCTTTACCTGCCACCCAGCTATGCTCTTCCCTTTATTATTTCTGTCTCTTGGTTATTACTGGTTGAAGCTATAGAATTGATGATTCCAGTGTACGTTCAACTTATGGAAAGTCTTGGAAGACAGAATCGCACTCTGACTTTTTGCTCCTAAACCAACGGAACTGAAGCTCCAAATCCAAAAATGAAATTTTGACCAATTCTTCTCAGTTTTCCCAGGACTTTACCAGTAATTAGCAACGAAAAGTCCCACATCCCCGTAAAACCCTCAGTTGGGGGCAAACTGGGATGGTTGGTGAACCCGGTGTGGACCTACTCTTGTACTGTAATTGTCACTTCCTAACTCTTGCCTGTGATTCCACACATATAAAGTTCTATTTAAAACAAAATCTCTCTTTTTATCTTTCTCTGAAAGACAAAATTACTAGACCTCATAGGAAATTTACTTTCCTATTGATAATTAAGTTGGAATGAGTCACTTTTCTTTAGCAACCAAAGCTGAGTAGAAATTCTCAAGGATTAAAGAATGTTATTGAGAGATAAGCTCCTGATTCATGCAAAATACTGCTTCAGAGGGGAAATTATGCAAGTAAGCCCGACAAAGCCATTAAAATTGAACTGTTCTTAAAAATTTAACCTACTCTGAATTACACATTTTTCTTCTAAATTTAGTCTCTTTGGAACTCTGCAGTGAAAACTAAGCACAGCTGGAACATTTGGAGAGTGTTAAGTCCAGAGACTGAATTAAAAAAATTATATTAGAAAAGAAGTGTCATGAGGGAAAGAATGTGGGTTACCTCTGACAGCTCGCCAAGTAATTGCTATTAGGAAAATGGAGCAAATCACATCAGATGAGAAAATTAAGACAAAAGATGGAATTAAAATAATATCAATTATAATTCACAATAAATATCAGGAAATGTAAGCAAATTGGCTTTTGATAGTAAAATTACGTGCCCACAAATCAACCAGTGAAGGAGTTTGTAAATATACAATTAATTTCCATCATTTTTATCTAGCCATGTAAAACTAATATAGATTAAAATACAGTATAAATGGTATAGAGTATTTGAAAAGTAACTTTGTGTATTAAAGTATTATGTTTATTAAGATATAGCTTCATTTTATTCTTATATCTTATACAGAATACAATTAGAGTACATTAAATGTAAGATTAATTCTTATTTAATAGCTGATTTTGCAAAAGGAAATACTGCATGCATCATGGTGTGATTTTAGTGAGCTTTAAACTTGTAAGCAGTCTAAACAGAA